CCGAGTACGTACCGAAAATAAGGCGATGTTAAATAATGAATGCAACTCATAAAATTTTACCCCGTCTTCTTCTTGTGTATCTTCGTTTTGTGTATTATGCAGTGCATATTTTTGTATTCTGTTTGTTGTATTTGTATGGTTTGTGCATCCATTTTTATGTATTTAGGATATTTTTCTAAATGGTTTGTTGTGTTTGTATCATTTCATACGTTGGCTTGTATGTGCATACTGTATTTATAATACTTTGTAGTTTTTTTTTATTGTTTATGTATGTTTTTGTTGAACTCTCTTTGTATTGTTTCAATTTTTATGCACCTACTTGCACGTGTGTGTCGAGAAGTGTAGTTATCTTTGGGGGTATGTGTTTTTACACAAACTAATATTTGTAAATTTTGTGAAATTGGAAGCCGTTATGAACAAAAAATCAGACGAAAATTCCTAATAAGATTTTCAACGAATACAAAAATGTGTTTAATTTGTGAAATGAGGTAGAAAAAATCCAAAAAATATCGTTCAATGGTATATTTTATGGTTTAATAAACGCCGTAAATAGCGAATGAACTATTCCCCAAACGACAATAATCCTTCACAGATGCGTTTTTATTTTTCTTACTTTTTTATAAAATTAATTTTTAATAGAATTTTCTGTCTCATTCGAGGTCTCGAGAGATTTTATAATATAGACAGATGACTCTTCATGACTTCAAGCTCTGCTCGCTACTTGAAGATGAAAGATATGGATTTTGACATTCAAGTTTTACTGATATTTTTTATTTTTTTTTAATTAAAAAATATATTTTATTTATCTTTGAGTTATTTACATTGTTAGCTCAGATTGTAAGGTTTGCTAAATTTTACGTTATTTTTCTTGTGCTATCACCTGGTTCAAATGCATAGTAAATGGCGTTGATGGTGACTTTCTGAAGAAATGTTAGATTGCATCTATGTAAGAAATAACTTGTTAAGTTGTACTGTTGTTCTGAGAAGTGCACAAACCAACTTCATGGATACTAATTGTAACTCTTATAAACAGCCCAATCAATCAGAATGAGAAATTAAAATAGCTTCGTATTTTTATTTTACCAACAAATTTTTCTTTTTCATAATAGTAATAAATACCATATGTGTTTCAATAGTTTGGCAACAAATTTGATGGTTCTGAAAATGTTTTGATCGGGATGACTTATAAAAATTCATAGTATAACTGCACCATTATATTCTTGTTTAGCATTATCTAACCTAAACTATTCTTATTAAAGTTCAGTTTTTTTCAATATATATATATAATTGAAATTTTGAGTTTTTGATTCAAGGCACAGCAGAAAGAGATGAAAAAAGAGAAAGAAAGAGCGAAAGAGAGAGAGAGAGAGAGAGAGAGAGAGAGAGAGAGAGAGAAAGGAAGCACATACAACAAAAATATCGATGCATTTTATTTGAAAAATTTTTCCAACAACATCTTCATTAACATTCCAGACACGGTCAGCAATCGGTAGTCATTTCCGCTTCAATTACTTCCAGCAATAATTTTACTTCCATTTCTTCTGCCTACTTACCTGCAACCACCAATTTTCTATTGCTTGCTACACTGATGCCATGAAATTTTTATAAGCTCATTCGCAGCTGCCCGCCGTGATAAACTTTGGTACACCGTACCAAAAAAGCTTGAAATAATAAAAGAGTGATCTTATATAAAAAAAAGTATTTCTAGTGTTTGTGTTTAATTCAATTTTGGTTAATTAAGTTAAAATCAAAATTTTGTAATACAAGTGATGCAAAATTGCGTTTTTAAATTTTGATCAATATATTTTTTTTGTTGAAAATTTAAAAGTTTTCGAGTAAATTATCAGAGTCAATTGCTAACTAGAAGATTTAGACTTATATGCAATGAAAACTTAAGCGATTTATATTTTGCATGTAGCATAACTTGCATATATATTAGCAAAAAACACTTCACTATAATACTAAACCCTAAAATGTATTCATATTCACTTAAAAAAAAAACTATTTTTCTCCTAAGAGTAAGCAAGTTACTCGCATCACACTTTAGATAGTGTTAGCTATATTGAATTTCGTTAGAAGCTTTTAAATAAATTCATAAAAACTTCTGGGATTTCAGAAACTCTATAACGCCATGAGAGTTGATCATTTTAATTTATATTACCTTGCTATTGTTGCCAACTAAGCCGGTCGACCAAATGGTACATTTTTGAAAAATTTCGTTTAAAAGCAACCTATCATTTATTGATAACTTCATTAAAATATAAATAAATTGTGAAGATTATGGGAAAAATTTGAAAAAGGTTTGTCAAAATGCAAACCACAAGCGAAAGCAAAAAGAACCCCGGTTGACACTAACTTAGGTAAACTATTTCCATTAAAACACCAGGCAGTGTTAACATTTTTGTTTTTAATACGTTTTTATTATTATTTTTATTCATTTATTATTATTATCGTCATTATTTTTGATGTTTTTATTTAAAATTGTGACCGAAAGTAATAAAAGTATTCCTCTAGAAAATAAAATTTCTCATTCAACACTTGTGCCTATGCTTTCTTTCTCTCTTTCTTTCTTTCTCTCTCTTCCTTTCTTTCTTTCTTCATCTCTCTCTCTCTCTCTCTCTCTCTCTCTCTCTCTCTCTTTCTCAGAAAACATTATTATTTCATTTGCAATAAAAACGCTGGAGTGAATTTTGTAAGAGCTACCGTACCTAGTGCTACAAAGTTTTGGAATAATATTTTCTGTCCTTAATTTTTTGTTACTATCATACATGGTTAATTTGTTTCTCTATTGAGTTTGTCTACGTGTTTTGTTGAAACATAAATTTGAAACAATAATGTCTGTGTAAATAAACATTGTTAATTTAGTTGCACAAAATATTATTAATATATTTGCAGGTTTACTATATTAATATAAGATTTAGAGGACAATTTGCGTCATATTTTGCTATTCAAGAGTTTTGAGATGCGAACTGCGGCTTAAGAATACAATCATAAAAGAAAAATTAAATAATTTCGAGTCTGAGTGGATGAGTTGTCTCGAGAAGCATAGCGAGACTCCACTCGTAGAACTTTTTATCAAGTCGGCAAAGCAAAGAAATGAGATGCGTCAAGCGATTTCGACAACTCGATAGACGATTATCGTCAAGTCAGAATCCTCATTTTCTTCATTCTGTAAAGATAATTCTAGTTATAAATCTGAAAATGATCAATCTTCAACATCCTTTCCTTCTCGCTTTGATCGTCAGTGGAGTTTTTTGGCCGGAGTTTGTTCACATCAGGTAGTGGAATTACGACAGCAACAGCAATCCCACTGACGTTAAGCCATTAACAGGTGTGTGTGTATGTGCGTGTGTGCGAGTGTGTGTGCGTGTGTGCGTGAATATGCACTGACGCACGTAAAAATTTGTTTTAAAATCTTTTCCAAAGCAAAAAAGTTAAAAATTTTAAATGCTCTTTCTCTTTCATCTGGAATTTCGTTCTATTTTCATACTGCAGAATTTAACATTGCCATTTAAAGCTTAAACGTGAGCTTTATCGTAGTGCTAATGATGATGACGATGTTGGTGGTGAAGCTGTTGATGACGATGATGATGATGATGATGATAACGATGACGACGACGACGATGATGATGAAGATGATGAAGATGATGATAATTCTTGAAATGATAATGAATCTGGAAAAAAATCAAACCTTACAAAACAATACGATGTATTGCAATTTCTGCGATGAAGAAATATACAAACTGTCCACTCTGGTTTTCTGAAGAATGAAACAGTATTTAAGTTCTACCACTAATTAATTTAATTATAATTAAAATGATCATCATGTTTTAATTACAGTACATGAAAAATATAACGTCTAATTTTTGACATTTAAAGTTTGCTTTTAACAGTTCAGATTTCTATTTGTTTTTTATATGCTTTACTCGGAAGAATGTTACACCCGAAACAGTGCTTCCAAATAATTCATGTACTTTTAAAAAATTCACTGAGACTTCATAATTTTTTTGTCATATTTAAAACTCTATTTTAGTGTGTTTGCGCTAGTAACTGTTAGTAGTGAAAGTAGGTAGTACTATCATTAGTAGTTGTAGTAGTAGTAGTAGTAGTAGTAGTAGTAGTAGTAATAGTAACAGTATTAGTAGTAGTAGGTAGTAGTAGTAGTAGAGGAAGAAGAAGTAGCAGTAGTAGTAGTAGTAGTAGTAGTAGTAGTAGTAGTAGTAGTAGTAGTAGTAGTAGTAGTAGTAGTAGTAGTAGTAGTAGTAGTAGTAGTAGTAATAGTAACAGTATTAGTAGTAGGTAGTAGTAGTAGTAGAGGAAGAAGAAGTAGCAGCAGCAGCAGCAATAGCAGTATCGAATTGAGTTTTTTTAATTGTTCAGCATGGGTCAGATGGATGGTTGACTTGGCAGGTGGTAGAAAATAATTTGCACCATTGGCTTTTCTCTTTCCTTTGTTTTATAAGAAGAAGTAAAAATAAATGGCTGAACGGATGAAAGCTTTCAAAATGTATCTAAACATTTCTTCTCTCAGTTGGATATGTGGACGAAGATGTGCATAGATGGATGTGCGACTGACTGGGTGGCTAAGTGGGAAAGCCGGCAAACGAATGGCGAAACAAATGAACATCGAAGCAGATGGACTGAACAAATTAAACCAAAAATACAAATATGTAACTTTAAAAAAAACGTTAAAAAATACAAACATACAAATAAACAAAAAAATAGTCAAATAGACAAACGAATAAAAGAACGAATGATTGATGGATGGATGAAATTTGAACAATAATGCCGTTTAAATATTTCAAAAGCTATTTAAAGCTTTTAAAACAGAAAATTTTGTTTTGCATTTTAGCAGACTTTTAAAAAAAATTTCATTGTTGGTAGCAGCGAGCTCGAAATAGAACGATCAATATTAAACTAAGTAACTTTATACAACAAAAAAAAATTCATAAACCAACATAAGAACGATCAACAAATTTTATTCAAAATTATTTTAAAAATTAAGCTACGTCATTCAAGTTGGCATACGTTCCATGAATCTGTTCGTGAAAGAACTTTCCAAGTGGCATCAATCTAATTTTAAAATCACTCTAAACGAAAACCAGGAAATAATTTTTTAAAACTCAAACCAAAAATAAATACAACTCAAACGACCGTATTAACAATATGCTTCACTTTTTGGAGAGAGAAAAATTTTTCCACTGAAAAATAAAAACAGAAAAAACCATTTAAATGGGATTTGCTCTGTTCTTCATTGGTTCAGGATTGCTCAATATTAATTCTTAAATCTCAAAATTAGTTTATTCTTGTAAATAACGAAACGATTGTTAATATCGTTTCGTTAATGTAATAGGATTGTGATCGTCGTTCTGTTGGAAAAAATAACTACAAAAATATTAAAAACCTGTCATCATGGCTTGTAATACATTTTTAGCTTTGAACAAGCAGTAATCAGTAATCGAACCAGGCCATCGCTCTATAACAGCAAAAACCACGGCGCTTTTACCGACTGAGCTATCAAATGGAATAAAATTTATACAATAAAAATAATGAAAAAAAACCGAATCAGTAACGAGAAAATCCAGCTGTTTCAACGAAATTTTTTCATCTTTTTTCGGTTAAATAAATTTTCAATTTGAGTCAACATCAATCAATTTAATGGTAATTATCCCGCAGGAAGTTCGACCAATCAGACAAGACGACTTTTGAAAAATGTTGCTATGTTTTTAATTCTTTGTATGTGTGTACATGTGTGTGTGTGTGTGTGAGGTATATGTGTGTGTGAGGTATGTGTGTGTGTGTGTGTGTTAGGTATGTGTGTGTATGAGGTATGTGTGTGTATGTGTGTGCGTGCGTGTGTGTAAATTTTTTCTAAAAGGCATTTCACGAGTAGGTTCGCCTCTAAAATTCATGCAAATGATAAATTCGTAATAAAATAACGCCACGAGAAACAACTGAAAAACAATTCTAACACATGAAAGATGGTGCAAGAAACTGTTTTTCACAAAAAGAAACAAAAAAAAACCCAAAAATCACAAAAAGAACAAAAAAAAGAACAAAAAAAGAAGAAAAAGTGGCTAAAAAGAGATGAATGAAGAAATTGCAGTAAGGGAATAGACTTAATAGAATTGATATCCGACACGTACTATCAAATGAACCCTCGCTCCACGTCCGTCCGATGAACTTTAAATTGACACGTAAGGAGTGAAGAAATGAGTGAAAAAGTGAATGAGTGAATGAGTGAGTAAATAAATGAGTGAATGAATGTGTGAATGAATGAATGAGTGAGTGAATAAAAAAAATGATTAAATGAATGGAGATGAGACCTTCGTTGTACGTCAATCCGTCCGATGAAAACTAAATTGGCACGTAAAGAATGAATGAATGAAAGAATGAAAAAATGAATGAATGATTGAATGAATGAGTGAATGAATGAATGAAAAAATGAATGAATGAGTGAATAATTGAATAAATAAATAGGTGAATGGATGATTTGATAAACTAATGCATTGTCCCATTCACAATAAAATTCATTCATGTATGCGTCATGCACCACACCACACTCAAGAAGATATACAATTTCACGATTTGTTCATTTAAAATTAGCATGAGATTAATCTGCCATTGAACTCAAACCTTAACGAATACGAAGTCCATAAAGAAATCTATGTTGAGGAAATGTTGCGGACCTAAAAACAGGCATTCAAATGAATTATCATCTGATAATAACACATAAAAGCAATACAACCAACCAACTAATCAATCAACCTACCAACCAACCAACCAACTAATCAATCAACTAACCCACCAACCAACCAACCCACCAACCAACCAACCAACTAATCAACCAACCAGCCAACCAACCAACCAGCTAACCGTCCAACCAACCAACCAACCAACTGACCGACCAACCAACCAACCAGCCAACTAACCAACCGACCAACCATCCAACCAACAAACGATTCACTTGTCAATTCATTTGTCCAACTAACAAACCAGCCAACCGACCAGCCAACAATCAACCGGATAATTAATCTTGTGTTAGTGTAGGATGGTGACTGACTGATGGTCAGAATGGATGAATTGCATATATATGAAAAAAAAGAGCAAGAGAGAGCAGGAAACTGAAAAAATAGTAAAAAATAACCTGCATCACGTGATTGATTTGCTTGTGACGTCAGCATGATGTCACTGTTACGTCGTTTCAACGTTAGCTGTTGTCGTAATATAGTACCGAGGTCGTCAGTGTTAATGTTTTCGTTGTTGGCGTTGTTGATGTAATTGATGTTGTTATTTATGTTGTTGTTGGCGTTGTTTATGCTGTTGTTTATATTGTTGTTTATGTTTATGTTGTTGTTGTTGTTGTTGTTGTTGTTGTTTGCGTTGTCATCATTAACGTTACAAATGTTGTTGTCATTAAACACTTGGAAATATGTATCAATCTTGTTGTTGTTGTTGCTGCTGCTGCTGTAGTAGTAGTTGTTGTTGTAGTTGGTAAAAATTTCGTTCGCTATGTTGTTGTTGTTGAGATTGATCTCATGTGCGTGACGGATGGAGTTCTCAGTGAATGGAAGGACAGTGTCGAGATTGTGTTTCACGGATGCGTGTGCTACGTAGCAGTTGTTGATCTCATTCGTAATGTGGGCCGGCTTGTTGCTGTCATAGATGTTGTTGTTGTTGTTGTTTTTGTTGTTGATGATGTTGTTGTTGTTGTTGTTGTTGCTGTTGTTGTTGTTGATGATGTTGCTAAAACAGTTTTCATAATTCAAGTTGATGTTGTTGTTGTGGTTTCTGGTGTTGTTGTTGATGTTGCCGAAAGAGTTTCCATAATTCAAGTTGACGTTATTGCTGTTGTTAGAGATGTTATTGTTGTTGTTGGTGATGATGTTGTTGCTGTCAACAATGATAGGACTGACAACAGAATTAGTTAAGCCAGAAAAATTGCTTGATGAATTTTGTCGCTCTGTTGTCAATTGGGCATTTTTAACCGAATTACTCTTGTTGCTATTACTACTTAGTAAACTGCAAATACTACTGCTACTGTTGCTACTAGAGAAAACAAAATTGCGGAAATCTTCTGAGAAAAATGGCGTCATTTCCGGAACTGGCCTCCTGCCGGAAGTACTCTGTAACCAAAGACTAAAATGCTTTTTCCTCTCTTCAAAAGATTCAGAATTTTTGAAGAAAACGTTATTGAAATCGTTTATGGTATTAATATTTGGAATGTTGTTGATGTCTGTTGTGTTGTTGTTGTTGTTGTTGTTGTTGTTGTTGTCAATATTTGGACTGTTTGGCAGCGGTAGTAATCGTTGCTGCTGTTTTAGCTGCTGTCGTTTTTGAAACATTAAATACGGACTATGTAGTTGTTGGAAATGATGTGAAAATGTTTTTTGTTGATTTTGTTGTTGCAGTTGCAGTTGTTGTGGTTGCAGTTGTTGTGGTTGCAGTTGTTGTGGGTGCAGTTGTTGTGGGTGCAGTTGTTGTGGCTGCAGTTGTTGTGGCTGTAGTTGTTGCGAATGAAATTCTGATGGCGGTCTTTGTTGATGCTGAGAGCTGCAAGTGTCATATCCATCATCGTTTCGAAGTGACGAAGGGAATAAATTGTTGGAGGCGTTAAGCAAGTTTTGTTGCTGATGATGTTGTTGCCGTTGTTGCGTAAATTGTTGCTGATATTGTTGCAAAATTTGTTGCTGTTGTTGCTGTCGCAACAATGTTGCAGTTTGAATGTTCTGAAAATATCTTTGTTGGTTTTTGAGATAATCTGGATGGAAATTCAAGAAGTTTTTGTTTGCGACAAATTTTTCATCATCATTAATGTCGGTGTCCTCGTCATCATCACTCACATCTGGAATGGTTTCAGGATGTCG